TTCTTGGTGTCACTCATTTTCATTACTATACCTTTCTAATGTGACGATGTTGTCTCTTGCAACAACCCTAGCTCTCTTTCTCTCCCTCTCCTGCTCTGTTCCTGTGCTACTGCGAGTGTAACTATCACCCCTTTTATCATGTTTGTGCATCAGTATTTTTAACTTTGCTAGTTCCTGACAGGTTTATATCGAGCTGGCTCAGGTGCTGCTGTAGCACCTGGTTAGTACTGAAGGCTAGAGTCCTCACTGCACGGGTCTGGGTCTGACTCTGCCCCCACACCATTTCCTGTGTGTCATTATTCTTCAGTCTGCCCCCACTTCACTCTCTAATGTCTGCACTGTCCTGTTCACCAAAGACAACAAACTCATATTCTGAAAACTCTTCCTCTTTCAAATCTCCTCTCTCATCTAAAGTTTTTGAGGTTTTTTGATCAGAGAATCTTCTCACCGTCTTGCTAATTTGTTGGAAAAAAAATGCAGAGTTGTTCCTACATGACGGAGGGCTTTAGATAAAAAGACAGATGTAGGTGATAGAAATGTAACAGTGTTGGAACTGTTGTGTGAACAAAACAGAGTCTGATTGCTTTCTGTGGCTAAGACGCTGTAAATAATTTTCTGTTTTATACAGTGAAGTTGACAAAAATACAGAAGAGTCTCAGTGATGCTTTGATCTACCTTCACGAATTGTACAGGAGTAGCTTTGTAGTTTGACTTGAGTGTGAACATAGGCAGATACTTGACACTCTCCATACACCTGAAATACACAAACACATTTATACAGTAGCTAAAGACACATGTACGTGTAAGAGGTGAACCACAGCAGCTCATACATGCAGAACATATGAATGTATGCATTACAATGCAGTGCTTTGTAAAACAAAGACAACAGAAGACTCACTGTATTAAAACTCTGAAAAGGTTGTCGCTGCAACTTCTGGTATTTTAAGTCAAATTTTCTGATAATTTTATACAGCTTTACTTAAAAAAGACCTAAATATTTTCTGTCAGTCTGGTATTGTGAAATGAATCAGGATCTATAACTTGGGACAGATATGTCAAAAAATGTCAAAGTATTGGCCGGTAAAAATATGGGGAAAAAAATCCACCATTTAAACTCTCATTTTGAATTCAAGTTTTTCAGATCAGTTTATTTTGTACAGCACCAACAGTTGTGCTGAGGTGACTGTAACACTATAAAATAAAGCTTGTAGAATACTTTTTAACATTACATTCTTGGTTACAAATATAAAGAAAATGAAAATTTCCTTTAATTTTGATGCCGGATTATAACAATTTATATCACAAAAATATCATTTTTGTCCTGATTGTCCTGTCCAAATAGTGTTAAAAATGCTGGAGTTTCAAGATGCTAGTTATAATGTAGTTATGTGTGCATATTTTACATTTTGAAGACCTGGGTCAATCCAATCACAAATCATATTTTTAAAGATATTTTTTCCTCTGCCTCCACAATTTGCATGAAAAATGTGCAGCCCAAAGTTTGCATACATTCAAATATCAGACATGGTAATATAGACCAGTAAACATTTCAGGCTTTTATCTTTGACATATTCACTTTCAAACATCGTCTCAGATTATAATGTGTTCTGTGACATGTGCATTGCTTGGTACTTACTGGAACATTCCCAATATTTCTGACTTCACATTGTTTCCACGGTTTTCCACTGGTGATGTGGCATTTGGTCTCCATGACATCGATGGTTAGTTTGTACAGAGATCCATCTTTCCCCTGGACACATTCATAAATAAGCAACTCTATTTTCTTTCTTCCTTTTGTGACTTTTCTAACATAAAAACAATATGGCTGCTGGTCAATATGTTGCAGCATGCCTTTGTTGCATGATCATGTCTTTGTGCATGCATATGCATAATTCACCCTGACCTGTTCTGGAGTGTGAGACAGATCATAGAGCCTGTTGAGGCTCCAGATGTATCCAATTTTCCTGTCCTGGTTGATCTGTTCCAACGCCTCTTCTGCCACTCGCACTGCATCAGGGCTCATGCAGCCTGGAGGGTCCGAGGCCTCCCCTCCCTGGGGCAGCAAAGCCAAACATACGACCAGCAGGTACACACTCATCCTCATCTAACACACATACAGACTGGTCCTAATAAAAAAAAAAAATCCCACCTACTTGAGTTACTAAATCCTATGCTGGCAGATCATTTAATAATGAAACTGAAACATGCATTGACCTGGAAATCTTCTTTTGCAGGACCTAATAAGTAATCCCAGTTTTTACACAAAGAGTTGTGAGAGACACATGTGAGACTAATGCTGGACTTTCTCCTCTTCCTGAAAGGATGAACAAACAGCTGCTATCGGCTGCTCTGCAGGCCAATGACTGGCTCAGACAAACTGAGCGGTCACAGTGCACTGGGGAACAGGGCAAATCAATTAAAAAGCTCACTGCACACCTCATTTCAGTTCTTGAATATTACTTTAAAAAAAATTCTTTAAGAAATGAAGTCACGCAGTCTTGATGAACAGGAATGCCTGTGAGCTTTCGATTAGCAGAACTCTTCTCAGCTCATCTCATTGAAGCTTAAAAGAAAGTGAGGGCCATTTGCAAAGCACTCCATCAGTGTAAGCCACTTCTCTGCTGCTGATTCTTCTTTTTATTTTATGTGTGCCAGTTCATACTTCCTCATAGTAACTGTAACTGGCAAATCTAAAAAGCTCATGTCAGTAGTATCATATCAAACTTAATGGGCTAGCAACAGTGGAGTGTGTAGCTGCTCTTTAGCTGTGCTTTTTGTTCATTTGATTTCTTTATTCAAAATGAAGAAATCTATCTATTAGTTGAGTTTAGAAAAAGTTTGAGTTATGCTGCAGGAATCGATCAAAGAGTTTTAGATATACTTTTATCGTCTGTAAATATTTCTGTTGGAGTGTTTCCTGAAACGTGAATTAGAGGTTGACTCCTAACTTTTTTCCTAATCGTTTTTGTCACATTGGCAAACACTCTGCATGCTCATGTGCAGCCTGCTGTGCTAGAACAGATGCATTACATGAACATCAGCACTGTGTGAGTGTCGTACTGCTTTACTTCAGTAAAAGTCATAATCCTACTAAAGTACAGTAATATGAAAAATGTTTTGGAATCAAAATGTATTTAAAGTATCTGAGTAAATATACTCATCTGGCCCATTTCAGAATTATGTACACAAAATGACCATATCATAAATATTTAAATTATTATTTTTTTGTGTATGACTTTGCCATGTAAATGGCGTAAACTAGTTACATATTACTGGGAAGCTTTATGTATAGTAAAATAATTTTTTCCCCCAAAATACTGCGGTACAATGTTGTTTTGGTTAGCACATCTGTCTATATGTAGTACTGTGCAAAAGTCTCAAGCCACTCCTCATTTCTATCTATTTTGCATCTAAGGAGCTTGTCACAGACCTGGGTCTGAGGGCCCCAGGATTATTGAATAAGTTACGGACATGTGTATTTTTGGTGCTGCTGTTCTATGTTTGTGTATAGGTGTGTGTGTGTGTGTGTGTGTGTGTGTGTGT